GAATTGGCGGAAGTCCGCAATTGCCTGCTGGCGCTAGGGATCTATCGAAGCGCGCCCCGCCGATCGTTGCTGCAACCTGACGGCCGCGGCTTGCGCGTTTGCTCCAGGCCCCCGCGGGCCCCCTTGTGGCCGCGCGCCAAAGGGCACTCTTGCCTAGGGTCACTCTTGCGTGTCGCCGATCAGAGACCCCGTGCTGGGGCCCGAGGTTTTGCCCGGGATGAGCTAGGACAGCTACTCCGACGTCGCCGAGAGCGTCTTCCGCGAGATCCGCCGAGGCCTCCAAGCTCTCTGTTCGATCGTGCTTCCCCTGGACAATCGCTTCGAGTCCGTGGTGGCGAGCGTCGACGCCGAGCGTGCCGAGACTTTCGAGGCGGTCTTCAGCCTTCCTGAGAAACTCAACGGGTTTTTTAAGTGGGCCAAAGACAGCGGAATCTCGACGAGCGAGAGCGGCCGCGAGAGCACGCCGAAGGCCGTGCCGCGGCCTGCGAGCTGAGCGAGCGCGACTACATGGCCGAGCGCGCCAAGGTCGACGTGGAGGCCGAGAAAAAAGAATGGCGCGCAGTGCCGGGCGAGCATGGGCGACTGCGGGGCGGGTTTCGCGCGCGCGCCCACAGCAGCTCCTGAGCTCTAGAGCGAGCGAATCGTCCAGAGAAACGAATAAGTAAAACCATGTTGTCTCAAAGGTTTCGTGCTCCTCCCGCGCCTCAAAGGACTCGCTCCCCGCGGGGGGCAACTGTGCCGCTATGCCACGACGTTTCGCAGGTTTCGCACATTCCCCGTTCCTCCAGGAAGGCCCCCCCCCAGAAGGGTCAGGGTATCATGCGACCGTCGACTTTTATGCGATGCGTGTTTATCCAATTCCTCCGGGGAAGTTCACCGAGAGGGCCCGGCGTGCCATTTCACCGTGCTATTTCAGAGGAGTTGTGATCATCCCGCGTCGCCAAAGAGACTCTCCCTTACCTCCAGAGGGGGCGTTCTACCGTACTATTGCTCTCCAACTCCTACAGGGAAGCTCCCCAGCAGGATCTCATGCGCCATGTCACCGCGCGAATTTACAGGATTTGTGATCACCCGGCGTCGCCGCAGAAAAGAGGCTCCCTGAGAGGGGCCAGTGTACCATTCCACAATCGTATTTCACAGGAGTTGTGGTCTTACCACATTTCCAAAAAGGCCGTCTAGAAGGATGGTGGAGGCTCTTGAAGGCAGATTTGAAAGACCAGTCCAGGCATCCAAATATCGAGCTGTCGGGAAAACGGTTCGTTCTCCCGCTGGGACCCCGAATTTTATTATTCCCAGGGGATTATTCTCACCGCCGCGGGGTTACGAACCCTTGAAGTTGTCGTGTACTTTAAGACGAATGTACGCGGCGGTCAGGCGAATACCACATTTTGAAAACGACCCGCCCTCCATCTGTGAAGCTGCTGCAAGCTATTAAGACGAACGCGCGCGAAACTAAGGCGAGACCAACATTTTGAACATGACCCGCCTCCCATCCGTGATGCTATCGCGAAATTTCAAGACGAATGTACGCGGCGTTTTGACGATAACCATATTTTGAAACGGCCGACCCTTTACCACTGAAGTTTTCGCAAGCTTTCAAAACGAATGTGCGCGGCGCGAAGGCGAGGGCCACAACTCGAAAACGACCCGCCCCCCCTCCGTGAAACTGTTGTGAATTTTCAGAGTACATGCGCGCGGCGTTTAGGCGAAAACCACATTTGAAAGCGACCCCCGTCTCAGGCTGTTGCAAATTTCAAGCGTCAGGGTCATGCATTGCGAGGATCTCTCAAACGAAATGCCCGCCGCGTTCTGCGGACACGTCTTCGGGTGCGACAGAGCAAAGCATTGCGGTCGCAACTCCTTCTCCCGCCTCCCTCCTCGTCTGCTCCGTGTTCCTCCTTTTCTCCTGCCTTCTACCTGTCCTGTACCTGCCTTCGAGATCGCCCTTTACCTCGCCGACCTACGTTACCTTGCCATCCCTGGTGGGCTGCGATCTGCGAAATGGTCGCCACTTTCGGGGGCTATTGGGGTGTCCAGCGGAAGGATGTCTTACGCGGATTTAGATTTCACCTCGCCAACGTTGGGGCGCTGGCAATCGCGAAACAGACGCCAGTTTCGAGGGCTGTTGGGGTGTAGTAGTAGTAGTAGTAGTAGTAGTCGTAGTAGTAGTAGTAGTAGTAGTAGTAGTAGTAGAAGAAGAAGAAGTAGTAGTAGTAGTAGTCGTAGTTGTCGTAGTAGTCGTAGTAGTCGTAGTAGTAGTAGTAGTAGTAGTAGTAGTAGTAGTAGTAGTAGTAATAGTAGTAGTTGTAGTAGTAGTAGTAGTAATAGTAGTAGTAGTAGTAGTAGTAGTAGTAGTAGTAGTAGTAGTAGTAGTAGTAGTAGTAATAGTAGTAGTAGTAGTAGCAGTAGTAGTAGTACGTAGTAGAGGTAGTAGTAGTAGTAGTAGTAGTAGTAGTAGT